TACTGAGTACCTGCTGGACACCAGGGACATCTTAGTGAATCAGACAGTTAAGACCCTGTGCTTGTGGAGATTCTTTCTAGATAGGAGAGAGAGAAAATTAACAAATAAGCAAGTGAATGCTGTGAAGGAAATAAAACAGGGCTAAGGAGTGACTGCAGGGAAGGATGAAATAGGAGTGTTGGAGAAGACGTCTCAGAGAAAAAGACATTTGTTAGGAAGGAGCAGCCCTGGGAAGATGGGGCAGAATATGATAATGTCATTCTACGCAGAGGAGATACTACAGACCCTACAGCAAGAAGTAGCTGGACATGTTTTAGGAATAGAGGGAAGGTCAATGTAGCTGGAGTGTGGTGAGCAAGGTAGGGGTGTGACTGAAGGTGAGGGAAGATGGCCAGATCTTACAGGACTTTGTAGGCCAGATAAATTTTCTTCCAACGGCAATGGGAGACCACTGACGAAGTTTCCAGCAGTTTCAGAGAGGAGCATGATCTGTGGAAGCTGGTTTGAAAGCATCCCTGTTTGCCATGTAGAGAAGAGACTGTCAATGAGCAGTGGTGGAGAGATGCCTGTCAGGAGACAGCTGTCCACGTGAGAGCTGATGGGGACTGGACAGTTTGTGGTGGTGGAGATAGAGAGTAGAGAGAAATAATTCAAATTTAGGATATCTTCTGGAAGGCATGTGGATTAAATGAGGTAATCTATGCAAAACACCTCACAAAATGCCTGACAGAAGGGGCTCAATTAAGTGCTTGCTGTAGATAATACAGCCTGGTATAGCAGGCCAGTCACAATTCCATAAGTCAAAAAGAAATCTGCCAAATACTTAGGTCACAGAGCAGGTTAGCAAACTGGTTCAAGCACTCATTATTTATGTGCCACTTGGGAAAGTCACATTTGGGGCCTCAGTTTCCCCATTTATAAAATGAGAAGTGGGCCAAATGAACTCTAAGGCAGCTTCCAAAGCTAACATCCTCCCAATGTTTTTGATGGGATATATCATCAGGGTTTGCTCGGAGAAGCAGAGTCACTGTGAGTAAGGTAGAACAAGGAATTTATAGCAAGGAGTAGACCTTACAAAACTGTGGAAACCAGTGAAGTACTCTATGCAACGCATTGCCTCTGTGCCTGGTGTTGGGCCCAAAGTCACAACAGATCAGCCAACCCTGCAGTCAAGAAGGAAAGTGAGGTACAAAGTTTGGGAAGTCAAGGGCAAATTGGAATACACAGGGATAAACTGGATGCCAAGTCTGTCTAACCATCTCTAATCTTGATGCAGGTGATCTGCAGAAGCTAGAGCCCTTAACCATGGAGCTACTCATGCACCTAGCCCAAGACTCAGAGCAGATGAAGGAGGAGCTCATGCAGGTCCGAGTGCTGCCCCTGCCAATAAGTGAGCCAGCCGACTCAATGTCATGAACTGCCACTGTGCCTGGCACCCAGCTGTGACTTTCAGAGTAGAAAACACGGCTTTGCTTCCACCTCTCCAGTCTTGTGCCAATTTCTCTTTTGGCCAATCCCAATCTGGAGCCATGCAGGGAAGGGAATTCTAGCAAATGAGTTCCACTGCAGCTAAATTGACAATAAAGAGCTACCAGAATCCACTCCTTGTCAACTTGGCATTCATACACACCTTTGAAAACCATCCGTAACTGTTAAATAAAGACAATAGCGAAATCATGCTTCCACTTAACATGACCCAATGGTCCCTCATGCAACTGAAAACATTCTATCCTTCTCTCCAAGAGAGGATATAAGTTCCCTTTATGCACCTTTGGGTGATATTCATTCTTTTTCTAGCTGAGTCACCCTCTCCTTTGGAGGTAAGGGCTTTGGGAGGTGATTAGGTCATGAGAGTGGAGCCCTTATAAAAGAGACCCCAGGGAGTCCCCTCATCCCTTCTGCCCTGGAAGGACACAGCAAAGTGACAGCCATCTAGGAACCAGGAAATGGGCTCTTATTAACACTGAATCTGCTGGTGCCTTGATCTTGGAGCTCTTAGTATTCAGAACCATGAGAAATAAATGTCTATTTATAAGCCAGCCAGTGTATGGTACTGTTATAGCAGCCCAAATGGACTAAGATAGGCATAAAACAATAACCATCATGGATTTTGTGTGTCAGGAATTTGGAAAAAGCACAGCAAGTGTGGTTCTTCTATGCCCCACAATATCTGGGTTGAGATGACTCAAACAGCTGGGGGTAGGAACCCTGGGACCAGAGAATCTACTTCCAAGATGGTTTCTTCATTCATACTTCTGGTGCTCAGCCTGGGGTGGCTGAAGGAGAGGCTCATCTGGCACTATCAACTGGAAAATCTGCACGGTGGTCTCAAGGTAGCTGGACTACTTACAGGGCTGCTCAGAGCTCCAGAGCAAATTTCCCAGCAAATAAACTGCATGGCCTTTTATGACATAGTTTTGGAAGTCACCTGGTGTCACTTACACTATTCTATTGGTTGAAAAAGTCACAAGCCCTCCCAAATTCAAGGGGAGGAAATATAAACTCTGCCCTTCAATGGGAGGAATGTCAAAGAACTTGAGGCTATGTTTTAAAACCACCACCTGACACCTTGTCTAGTCTAGTTCATGTTTATCCACAGCAGGTGGCCAGTTCACACTTTTTCATTATTTAGCATTATTTTTATTACTGTTCATTTCTCACCTGTATCAACTGATGAGAATGCTGCCTATGAGAGATATTATTACAGGTGCTTTCCCTTCCATGCTTCCCTGGGCTTCTTGGAAAGTCACACACCCCTCATAGCTAGACTCACATTTCAATTTTTCTACAAACTTACTACTTACAGGTGATCTCCTGACTTATTATAACTCTTTGGCTGGATACTCCTGCACATATGGCCTATATGATTCCTAATGCCTTCAGGTGACAATATTGAGATCAGTGGTCAACTAGCCAATGAACAGTGATAAGAAAATATCTTGGGCTGATTCATGAAGTTTAGAAACAGGCTTCTGAATCAAACAACAATTCTAGCCAAGACATTTTTCTACCTTAAAATATTTAAGAATCTGCAGAAAAAAAAACAGAAAAGGAAGATAAGTGATTGGCAAAACTTCCGAATTGTGAAGAAAGCAGAAAGCTGTCTTGTAGGCGTGGCCTGTAGAGTAGACTTGACCATCATTCCGGAACCAGTTGGATTGCATTTTGATGGCCTCGTATACCCAGAACATAATGAAGGCTCTCTTTTTCTGAAGAATGAGAGCACTTATAGCCTGAACTATTCATTTATTAATTCAACAAGCATCTATTGAGTGCTGCGGACAGGCCAGGTAGTATCTCCTTTGCTGTTCAGGAACACAATGGTGAAGAAGACACAGCCTCTGACCTTGAAGGACTGTGAAAGGGATCAAAACCAAGCCAAACCAAAACTGATACCAAAACAAAAACCCAAATTTATAATGAGTAAGGGAGCTCAAGAAAAAGCACTTAATTATAAATAAGTTTCACTCTGGGTCTCGTGTCTTAGTCTCCTCTAATGTGACTGTAAGCTCGTTGGAGGCAGGAACCACATTCTAATGCCTCCATACCTCCCAGGACACTGCTCAGTGACATGTCCACAAGAACCTATCATTAAACATTTGCTACTGGTTTGACTGACGGATACTGAAATGAAATGAAGTTGCAGAGGTACAAAGTGTGTTAGCAGTATTTTTTGCCTCCTGCAGAGGTTCACAGGTGCCCATCTGTATATTAAACCATCACCACCAACAAATAAGAATGTCCTCTGTACCATCTTATGCTTGGTAGGAGGAACAACAGGGCTTTGATTCCTTGACATTCAAGAGCTCTCTGGTGACTTGATTCTTCCCTGGCTAGTGGTGCAAGTGATAAGAAGGCGGGGGTTTGGCTCTGCCACTTAAGAGCCGTTACTGAACCTCTTGGGGCCTGTGATTCCTCAACTTTGAGCGAGATTAGGGTTCCCTCCTGCTTTACTCAGGACACATGTTTTTGTTTCATAACTAGTTTGGGTGCAAAGGGAGATGTAGCACCCAGACCATCTATAAACTGATGGGATGTGACCTGGCTTCTCCCCATGCTTCTCTTATTCCACGATAAATTCCCAGTCCTTATGAGGTTTTGGTCCCAGTGAATTTTCCCCTCAAAAACCAAACAGGATAATAATGAACCATTTTCTTGCATTTTCTATCAAGACTGCTCTTTGTGAGTTCTAAATGTTCTGTCCATATTCAAAGAAGCTGGTTTCTTCATGAGTGGTTGGAATAAGACTTCTCTTGGAAGCTACTGAATATGGATTAGTTGGATTGTTTCGCAGGAAATAAAAAGCAGGCTCTGGGGTGACTACTTCAGTACTTAATTGGGTTAGCAAAGAACTGCAAATGAGAGGTTTTCCTTAGGAGGGAAAGGATGTTTACCGCCCCCCACCCCCCTAGGTGGTGGATTTTTAACCTAAACCCTAGTCTTCAAATGCAGCCTTTAATTTAGAAACCATTACAAGAATCTATTAGAGCAGAAAATGTCAGGTTGAAAAATTAACACATCACAGGAGTTAATTAGAACCCAGCCTCTCATTAGATGCAAATAAAGAGCCCTCCAACTGGCCTGCTGAAGTCACATTTGTTGTAGCTCCAAAGTGGCTGCCTCCTTCCTACTCAGAGAGTGGACAGAGGAAGCTGCCAGGCCCTCAGGCCAGAGCCACTAGGGGCCCACAGCCTGCCCTTTAGGTTAATGGAAGGTTCCATTCCCCTGTCCCCATCTTCTGCTCCTCTCCTAAATGCTCTGCCTATCACAGGGTGTAGAGTCCTTGGCGTGGAACTCCCTCAGGGAAGTGTTTTCTGCAACAAAGACAAACATGCCAGGCCTGTCACTGGGAGCAGACTGGTGACTGTGTAAACCGCTCTGTGAGAGGAGAGGCTGAGGGGCTCCGGGCCATTCAGACTGAGCTCTAAGTCGTGGTCTTTGTTTTCTTTCCACATGCAGACTGAAATGTGATTCCCCTGGCTTTCTTTTCTGGAAAATACCTGTGATGAGTTCCATGCCGGGGAAAGAAAAGCTGTTGACAGGAAAAGCTTCTGCCCGGGGAAGGGGCTTCTTCCAGCGTTCTCCAAGGAGACAGTCCTTCGAGCAAGCCAGGGCAGGGACGCTGGGGCTAGGAAGAAAAAGTCCAGATGGCAAAAGGGGCATCTCTAACCAGGGACTAGGTGAAGCGCACGCAGTACTGTGAGAGCAGTACCATGCCCATAAACAGGCACACGTCTGAGTCCCCTGTCACTTACTGTGTGATCTTGAACAAACTACTTAACCCCTCAAAACATCAGTTTTCTCAAGCTGCTGAGTGAAATAAATGAGATAATGCACAGAAAGCATGTAACCCAGTATCCGGCCCAGAGTAAGGGTGCTATGGAAGTTCTTGGTTGTTGGTCTGATAATAGTATGGCTTCCCTCAACACTGATGGTGTAGCCTCTTGTGCCAGGCCTTGTGCTGCTCCTTGACCTTGCAGAGTTCATCCTTCAATAAACCATGCACATATACCGTCAGTACACGACAAGCCTTCCTCCCCTTCCTGCAAATGTGTCAGAAGTGCCCATTGCACACTAACTCTGCTTTGTTGAGTAGCTCAGAATCCTGCAGGCCATCTGCCTCTGCACAGCCCTGTAACCTCAGCTACCTCCACCCTCAATTTACCCACAATTCTCTATGCACTTACCACATTGAGTTACAGTTGTCTGTTCCTTCTTTGTCTCCTCCTGTGAGTTCCTAGAGGGTGGGGATCATCTGTTCATTGGATTCATTCATCTCATCATTTATTCATCTCTGTGGGCCTATGGTCTCCTGCATTACTCAGCACAAACGGAAGAGTCAACCCTACTCCTGAGTATGTAGACTTCCAGCTGGGAATATTGCTAGGGAAAAAAACCCTGCCTCCCATCTTTGAGGGGCCTCCTTGGGCCCTGGTTTGGCTGGTCTTCCATTTTCTTTTCTTTTTTTTTTGGAAAGGTCTTCCATTTTCTAACTATTACTTTGGTTCTAGCCTCAGTTTCGTCATCTCTTTAAGAGGCTAAGAGAATCTCCTTCCCTGGAAGGTTGTAATGATGGCGGGAGAAAAAGCAGCTTTTATGTGCCCAACACAGTTCTAGGTACAGAGCCAAAGACCAAAACAAGTTGATTCCATTCTTGCCCTCAGCCAAGTCAAGTTGCCAGTATATGAAAACTAAAGCTATAAGGCAAAATAGGAGCACCACAGGAGTGGAACAGATATCCTTCCAACTTGTATCCAGCCTCTGCCATCTGCCAGACTTGGCTGAAATAGAGGATACAAACATGCATACAAATCTGGTGCCTGTCACCAAGGCCCAGGAAAACCTTGGCAAGTATTGGTCAAAAAGATCTCAAGAAGAGAGTAGAAAGCTCTTTATCCGGATCTTCAGACCTGGGCAGCAAGGAGATGTCTTTGGGACCTGGCTGGAAAGCAGGAGGTCACCTCACAACGACAAAAACCAAGTTATTTGGCACTTACTTTGTATGTGCCAGACACTGTGCTAAATGATTTAGGGGCATTCTCTCATTTAACTCTTAGAACAACTGTGTGGGGAAGACATGAATTTCCTTATTTTACAGATGGCCCATTTGAAGCTCAGAGAGGCACAGTAGCTTCACCAGTCAAGCAATAAGTAAATGGCTTAGAAATCCACCTGCTGAGGGTTCCACTGGTCTGACTAGAAAGGGAAAGGGTGAACTAGCACAAACCTCCACCCTAGGGGTGGGCAGTGGGGTGGGGGAGGGTTGGGAATGTGTGTGTGTGTTGGGGGGAACTGGACCAAAACAGCGGTCGCATGATCCCCAGACTTCCAGGGCCCTTCGCAGCAGCTGAATAAGTTAGAGATGAAGGCTGCAGGGGAGGGATGCCCGGGAGGCTGGGGGAGGGTACCCTCGGTGGTTGTGCGCCTTCTTCGCCTCCTGTGCACAGGTCAAGCCTCTCCCCTCCCGCCCTCTCACCCTCCCAACCTTATTTAGAAACCGTGTCCTCGACACAGGAAGGGCGGCGGGCCGAGAAGCACGGAGCGTCCCGGTCTCATTTCCTTTTGAATCCCCCTGTGGAATTTCATTTCATACGGTGAGGAAATCGGAGCGCGAGACCATCGGCTGGTCGGCTGCTCCGGGGCGCCTCCCCCACTCGCGGCTGGAGACAGGCAGCTCCCGGGCGCAGGTCCGGCCGAGTCTGGGGGCGGGGAGACGCGGCCCGGCTCCAACCCAAGCAAGTTAGCAGTGAAAATAGCTGCGAGCTTGCGCTGTACCAGGCACGGGGCTAAGCGTTTTACGCATTACCTCTAATCCTCCCAAGTCTCTTTACGGATGAGGAAACTGACGCCGAGAGGTTGAGCAATTTGCTCAAGGTTACACAGCCAGGATTTAAAGCCACAGTCTTTGTAAATCTAAAGCCCGTGTTCTTTGTGTACGTTTCTCTGCCTGATAGGTAGGTAGCCACGGGCCGAGGTGACAGCCGGAAGAGTGGAAGGAAAGGGAGTCGACTGATCTGGGAGCATTTCTCACCTGGAAGAGGAGGGGGCAGGCTGGCCCGGCTGGAGCAACTCGGCTCCATCCCCGCCTGGCCCCCGAGCGCCGCGAACCGGGTGGGAGGAAAGTGAGAGCCGGGAAGCCGGGCGGGGCGCTCCGGGAGGGAAGGAGGGAGGGAGGGGCGGGGGAGGGGGGCTGGCGGGCGGGCGGGGGCCTGACCCTTCCAGCGGCAGAGCGTCCCCGCCCCTCGCTGCCCACGGCGCCCGGCCATTGGAGAGGCGCACTGTCCGTCCCGCCCCGCCACCGCCCAACGAACCTCTAGCGCCGCGCAGGGCTCGGGCGGTGAGAGCGGCGCGGCGCTGGGTGCTGGCGGGTTTCGCCGAGAGGCAGAGCGGACGGGCCGGCGCTGGGTTGGGGGCTCGCCGCCTGCAGCTATGCCCCTCGCAGTCTGTCCTTCGGCCCCGGCCACGGGCGTCTAATATCCCATACCGTCGCGCGCAACTGCCAGAGACCCGGCCGCTGCCCCTTCTTCGCCCTTGGCGCCTTATCACACTCCATTCCCGGGAGCTGCGGGCAGCGCGGGCAGCCGGCGCCCCCGTGCAAACTGGGGGTGTCTGCTGGACGCCCCCCCCGCCGCCGCCGCTGCCCCCGGCTCTGGCCATGGCCTGGCGGGGCGCAGTGCCGAGCGTCCTGGGGGCGCCCGGGGGCGTCGATCTCAGTCTGCGGCTGCTGCTGCCTATGCTGCTGCTCCTGGAGCCAGCGCGGGGCTTCGGGGACGAGGAGGAGCGGCGCTGCGACCCCATCCGCATCTCCATGTGCCAGAACCTGGGCTACAACGTGACCAAGATGCCCAACCTGGTGGGGCACGAGCTGCAGACAGACGCCGAGCTGCAGCTGACAACTTTCACGCCGCTCATCCAGTACGGCTGCTCCAGCCAGCTGCAGGTGGGCGCCCCCACCCCCACCCCCACCCCCTGGCGGGACGGGACCCCTTGGGCGGGGACGCCCCAAACTACGTGAAGCCCTTGCCAAGCCAAGCCCCCTGCCCCCTTCCAAGGCTGAAGGGTAAAACTATCCTGGAAAAGTGATTTCCACCCCCACTTTTTTGTCCCTTCTCGGGGACTGGAAGCCAAAACGTTGTGTAAGTCGTCTGGCCTGCGAAAGAACCCACTCTTACACCCCGCCCTTCCGTTTTTCTCCCCTGCTCACCCGTGTCTGGCCAAGCCCCTAACCCCAGTGGAGCTGAGGGTTATCTTTGCCAAGGATTCTGGCCGCCGCTGCTCGGTGGGCGAGTCCCCAGCAGGGCCGCCAGCTGCAACTAAGACTTGGAAGGAGAGATAAGGAGCCGGGAACTTCTCCTCCCTCTCCGACCTCCTTTCTCCCCCATATTTTGGGGGTGGGTTATTAAATGAAACCCCACTGCTTCGTTTTCTGCGGAGTGGCCCTTCCTCGCGTCGTTCTGCATGACTTTAGAGGTCATGCAGGAAGGAATGGTTGGGTGGCTTGAGATCATTTTGATCCTCAGGGTTGAGGGCAGATTTAGGATTTGGTGGGGAGAAAACACAGCTTGGGGAAAAGGTGATAGTGTGTGGTCAAGCTCCAGGAAGGTATTTTGTATATTAGAAGATTTTTTTTTCAGTCGGTAAAAATTTTAAAGCTTCTGTAATGATAGAGAAAATGCTCAGTCTACAATAGGTGAAGAAATAATTTGCATATACAGCATGATTATAATCTTACAAAACCAACAACCTCTTCACTTTTTAAAAAAGGAACTGAAAGAGATTTTTTAAAAAGGGTTAGCACTAGTTGTGTTTTGGTTGGTGAGGTGATGAGTGAGTTTCAGAAATTTAGACAGCAGAGAACCTGGGGAAAAAATAGAGGGTAGTTGTCCAGGCTGAAAGCTACAGAAATCCGTGGTTCTGGTTGTAACTTCTGAGAGATAAGAAACAGGCAGCCAGCTTACTTAGTAGGTGCATGTTTTTACATAGGTCATTTTAAAAGTTGGACTGTGGTTTCAGAAAGATGGTTGGGATTAGACCTGTTGCTGCTGAAATGTCCCTTCGGAGTTTTCAGAACTTTAGAACTAGGTTATAAAAGCTTAAGAAATGATCCTCTAGCTCTCAGTTTGGAAACAGCACATATCCTGACATCAGTGGCAATTTTGTTGGAGAAACAGCTTTTGCAGGGATATATATTTTTAATTACATGTATCCTGGGGAAGCAGCCAAGCTGTTTTGAAGGACAGGACTGGATCCCTTTACATGCTGGAAAATAGTTACTTGTAACTCTAGACTTCATAGACAACATCTGTAAGGAGCCAAGCCGACTGTTTATCAATGCTGGAAGAATTGAGGACAGCAACTGGACTCTACCCTGCTGGTACTGCAGTTCCAGGGACTTCACATTTATATTTTCCTATTGTGCTTCATTATTATTCATTGAGGAAACCTGCCCAAACAAAGCCCTGGTGACCAGAGACCTCAACCTGCATCCCATCTTTGGGTCTAATAGTGTCTCAATTAGGACATTTTCTGTTTCAGTATGGGACTGATTAAAAAAATAAATTTTAGGGATAAAGTAAAGTAGAGAAAAGAGAATATTAATAGGAGAAAAGCCGGATCTACATTTTTTTTTAACATTTATTTTTATGGTGATAAAGAAATGAGGACAAAAATAGATTACCCCATCACTGGAATGACTCAGTCATTCAATTAGTCTGTTCAGCTCTTTCAAAGAGGGAGACGCAAAGTCAAGTCTTAAGGTTTATTTTCTTAAGCATTATGCAAAAAAGGGATTATGTAATCCTTTAGGTCCTTTTAATATGTTTATTTATTTATGTTCTCCGGGAAAGGATTGCTAGAACCTGAAGAAGCAAAGTGTGCAAGCAACGGTTTTTTTAGGCACCCTAGTCTGAGGTCAGAGTAAGCAGTCAGAGTACCTATAGCTGGTTTAAAAGTCGGTATGTACTTTGCCTGGAAGCATTCAACTCCGCTTCATGCAAGCGTTTGGTCAGACTTCCAAGTCATTGTTTTCTTTGTTCATTTCATTACTTTTCCAGTTCTTCCTTTGTTCGGTTTATGTGCCAATGTGCACAGAGAAGATCAACATCCCCATCGGCCCATGCGGCGGCATGTGTCTTTCAGTCAAGAGGCGCTGTGAACCCGTCCTGAAGGAATTTGGGTTTGCCTGGCCAGAGAGCCTGAACTGCAGCAAATTCCCACCCCAGAATGACCACAACCACATGTGCATGGAAGGGCCAGGTGATGAGGAGGTGCCATTACCTCACAAAACCCCCATGCAGCCTGGGGAAGAGTGCCACTCCGTAGGCACCAACTCGGATCAGTACATCTGGGTGAAAAGGAGCCTGAACTGTGTTCTCAAGTGTGGCTATGATGCTGGCTTGTATAGCCGCTCGGCCAAGGAGTTCACAGACATCTGGATGGCCGTGTGGGCCAGTCTGTGCTTCATCTCCACCGCCTTCACGGTGCTCACCTTCCTGATCGATTCCTCCAGGTTTTCCTACCCTGAGCGCCCCATCATATTTCTCAGTATGTGCTATAATATTTATAGCATTGCTTATATTGTCAGGCTGACCGTGGGCCGGGAAAGGATATCCTGCGATTTTGAAGAGGCAGCAGAACCTGTTCTCATCCAAGAAGGACTTAAGAACACAGGATGTGCAATCATTTTCTTGCTGATGTACTTTTTTGGAATGGCCAGCTCCATCTGGTGGGTTATTCTGACACTCACTTGGTTTTTGGCAGCGGGACTCAAATGGGGTCATGAGGCCATTGAGATGCACAGCTCTTATTTCCACATTGCCGCCTGGGCCATCCCTGCTGTGAAAACCATTGTCATCTTGATTATGAGACTGGTGGATGCGGATGAACTGACTGGCCTGTGCTATGTCGGGAACCAAAACCTCGATGCCCTCACAGGCTTTGTGGTGGCTCCCCTCTTCACTTACTTGGTGATCGGAACTCTGTTCATCGCGGCTGGTTTAGTGGCCTTGTTCAAAATTCGGTCCAATCTGCAAAAGGACGGGACAAAGACGGACAAGTTGGAAAGGCTGATGGTCAAGATCGGGGTCTTCTCAGTCCTATACACAGTGCCTGCCACCTGTGTAATTGCCTGTTATTTCTATGAAATCTCCAACTGGGCGCTCTTCCGGTATTCTGCAGATGACTCCAATATGGCAGTGGAAATGTTGAAAATTTTTATGTCTTTGCTGGTGGGCATCACTTCAGGCATGTGGATTTGGTCTGCCAAAACTCTGCACACCTGGCAGAAGTGTTCTAACAGATTGGTGAATTCTGGGAAGGTAAAGAGAGAAAAGCGGGGTAATGGTTGGGTAAAGCCTGGGAAAGGCAACGAAACTGTGGTATAAGGCTAACTGGGCTCCACGCTTTCCAAATTTTGAAGGCATTGGGGGGGTGGGGAATGCTAGCATTTTGGTGCAAGTGCGACTAAAAGTTTCCTGCAGTGAATCTCAGTTTGAGCAGACTGGCAACACTTAAGTGACCCCTCTAAGCCACCACCACCTGCCCCCCCACTCCCCAGCATCATAAAAGGATTTTGCTGCAGACTTTGGAATGATCCACAATGGAAAAGCCAGTTAGAGGCTTTCAAAGCTGTGAAAAATCAAAACATTGATCACTTTAGCAGTTCGCAGCTTGGAGCGTGGAGGTCCTGCCTAGATTCCAGGAGGGTCCAGGGCGAAGCTGCTTTTCCCTGCAGAGTGAGATCTGAGCTGTGAGTAGGTAACTCGCAGGGAGAAAGATTAACTTTTTTAACCCTTAAAATCTTAGATACTAACTGGGTCTTTCAGATAGCAAAGCAATCTATAAACACTGGAGACACTGGGTTCAGACAAGTGTTACAAGAGTTTTATAGTTGGGCTGATCTAACATAAACATTTTCTGTGGTGCACAGTCTGCTGTTTAGAACTTTGTGGATAGCTCTCCCAAGAGGTGGTGTCAGAATCTTTCAGTGCCTTTGTCGTAAGACAGAATTGTTTGAAAAAACAGAAGTACTGTACAAACACACATAAGGTGTCCAGTGGATTTTTCTTCTCTCTCTTCCTCTTAAATTTCAACATCCCTGTTCTAGGCTGCTGCTGTTTTCTTCATTTTACATTAATGACTCAAAATAGGTCATTTTTATAGGATTTTTTTGCACTGCAGCATGCCTAATGAGGGGGAAAGTAAGGGTGATTCACTTTCTGACAATCATTTAATTCAGAGGAAAATGAGACTTACCAAGTTGACTTACCTTACCGACCGGGAGACCTATTGCATTGAGCAATGGGGACTTAATATATTTTACTTTGTGTGATTGCATCTATGCAGACGCCAGTCTGGAAGAGCTAAAATGTTAAGTTTCTTGGCAACTTTGCGTTCACACAGATTAGCTGTGTAATTTGTGTGTGTCAATTACAATTAAAAGCACATTCTTGCACCATGACATAATAGTATACTCAACTGACTTTAAAAACTATGGTCAGCTTGCATTCTCAGAATGATAGTGCCTTTCTTTCCTTTAGCATAAGAATGTTATCA